TCTTCCCTCCTTCTTTCCTAGCTAGCTAGATAGATTTTCAATAGCTTTTGGGGTGTAAGTGGTTTTTGGTTACATGGATGAATAGTATAGTAGTGAAGTCTGAGACTTTAGTGCACTCATCACCCAAGAAGTATACATTGTGAGGGTACCATTCTTTTGAGGGCAAGAAATAACAGTTATTTCTTACTCTGGATAATTATTTAAATAAGCAGCCCTCCCTAAATTTTCATTTATTCATTACAAAAGTTAAATCATTAGCCTGAAGAAAATAATGTACTATTCACAATCAGTTAAAAAAAAAAAAGTATTCCAGCTACATCTTTTTCGTAGAGAGGAAAATGCTTTCTTAGCACCACCAAATGATAAAGCGACAACTAAAATGTATAATGAAATTTGAACAGGAGCCGGCCGCAGGCCTGTAGTCTCAACGCTTTGGGAGGCCAAGGAGCCTGGCCAACATGGTAAGATCCCGTCTCTATTAAAAACACAAAAATTAGCTGGGCATGGTGGCAAGCACCTGTAATCCCAGCTACTTGGGAGGCTGAGGCATGAGAATTGCTTGAACCTGGCAGGTGGAGGTTGCAGTGAGCTGAGATCATATCACTGCATTCCAGCCTGGAAAAGAGTGAGACTCTGTCTAAAAAAAAAACGAAAAAAAAGTGAACAGGAAAGAATGATTCATTAATTTAACATATTTCATAGGTGCCTACTATGAGCCAAGAGTTGAGAACAAGGTTGGGCTCAATGGCTCATATCTGTAATTCCAGCACTTTGGGAGGCGGAGGCAGGTGGATCATTTGAGGGTAGGAGTTTAAGACCAGCCTGGGCAACATGATGAAACCCCATCCTCTACCAAAAATACAAAAAATTAGCTGGGCATGATGGCACATGCCTGTAATCCCAGCAACTCGGGAGGCTGAGGCAAGAGAATAGCTTTAACCTGGGAGGCAGAGGTTGCAGTGAGCTGATATTGTGTCATTGCATTCCAGCCTGGGTGACAGGGCAAGACTGTCTCAAAAATAAAAAAGAAAATTTGTCTTTTTAAGGAGCCTTCTACAGAGATGTAAGCTCATCCTTCACATGGTACGCATATAGTTTAACTTTACACTTCTAAGGGTACTTCACTATTCCCTCTAGAGATCACTTACAAAAATATGACTTGCTTTGTAAATAATTACAGAAATCCCTTAAGCCTCTTTCGTCACCTAGAGATAGCTCTATGGTATTTTACAATAAATTATTGACAAGACTATTGAAGTCATAATCTCAGTTCTTTATTATTCCCCTAGTAAAGAACTTCTTAAAAATAAATGACACTGAAAATGGAGATTAAAAAACAGCATTCAAAACAAAATTAGCTGCAAAAATAACCCAGAAGTTAATAACAGATGGAAAAAGTTAAGTCACATACCCAGAAAACAGTTATCTGAAGCTTCCTGCCATGCTTGCCCGTTAATGCTGACATTCTCTTGCACAGCTGATTCAAAAGTCTGCAATAAATTCACAATAGTCAAGTCACTAAAAATAATTTTACATACTCAATTCAAATGTTTTGGTAAAATAACACTTCCAGATTTGTGACAGAGGATATAAAGAAAGGTAGCAGAATAGCTTATTAGTATATTATTCTCTTCAATGAAGATTCCAGTTCAATTATTGATCCTGCCTACATTTTGGTCTCATAGCCATTATGCTACCCAAGAGAAAATCTGATACAAAATTTTGGAATATTCTTAAAAATGAAAAAAATGTACTCCTAGAATGAAAGAAAAAATAAAATCTAACAAATTTAGGCTCTGTTGAATCTCAGGGGCACAAGTACTCTATATGTTGCTGATGTTAACAAGAGGAAAAATATACATTCTTAAAAATAAAATTAATTTATATTTATAAAGGACTATATTTTTGAGAGATGAACGCTTAAGTATGCAGGGATGAAATGACACGAGATCTAAGATCTGCTTTAAAATGGCAAATGTAGGCCAGGTACAGTGGATCATGCCTATAATCCCATCTCTGGGAGGCCAAGGCAAGAGGATTGCTTGACAGTTCCAGACCAGTCTAGGCAACATAGTGAGACACCCTTCTCTGCCAAAAAATTTAAAAATTACCCAGGCATAGTGGTACACGCCTGTAGTCCCAACTACTTGAAAGGCGGAGGCTAGAGGATCACTTCAGCCCAAAAGTTTGTGGTTACAGTGAGCTATCATTGCCACTGCACTCTAGCCTGGGAGACAGCGAGATGCAAACTTTGCAATTTTGACAACTGTTGAGTTTGGTGGTAGATATATAGTGTCCACTGTACTAATTTTTTGTAAGGTCAAAAATGTTCATAATACATTAAAAGAACTAAAATACAAAAAAAAAAAGAAATAAAAAAGGTAAATTGGACTTCATTTTTTTTTAAATAATAAAGGACTAAAGGAATTCTGCAGTACACGTTCCCTGTTACTCAACGATTTCACGTCTAGCAATGTATGCTAAAGGACTACTCTCATAAAAACATACAGAGAATGTGCTAGAAGCGCTCATTTCAGCACTGTTTGAAATTTTTTAAATTGTGGGAAAAAAACTAAATTCAAAATTGGAAGAGTTAAATAGACAATATTCATACCACGCAGTACCTAAAAAGAATGAAGACAATCTCTACATAACACTGATGAGTAATAGTCAAAGACTTGTTTGGTTTCAAAAAAGGCAGGTCAATAACAATTCATTCATCAGCATGACAATATTAATGTAGACAAACAAACATAAACAGAGAGAAAGAGGTAAAACCATAGAAAGGGGTATAGAAAGTTTACTCTCTCCAAGTACACTCCAAAATAGTATGTCACGTCCTAGAAGGAAAAGGGATAGGGAAGGGAAGCTCAAAGAATTTTACTTTACGCTATTGTTTGAATTTTTTTACGAGCATATATTTTGTACCTTTTGTATAATTAAAAATAACATAAACTAAATGACTGATAATTATGAGTTAAAGTACATATTCTACATTTCAAAGATTTCATAAAGTAAAATCATTTTTTTTTTTTTTTTGAGACAAGAGTTTCGCTTTTGTCACCAAGGCTGGAGTGCAATAGCACCATCTTGGCTCACTGCAACCTCTGCCGCCCAGGTTCAAGTGATTTTCCGGCTTAGTCTCCTGAGTAGCTGGAATTACAGGCATACGCCATCACCCTCGGCTAATTTTTATATTTTTAGTAGGACGGGGTTTCACCATGTTGGCCAGGCTGGTCTTGAACTCCTGATCTCAGGTGATCCACCTGCCTCGGTCTCCCAAAGTGTTGGGATTACAGGCGTGAGACACCACACCCAGCCTATGTATGTCTTAATTATTTTCTAGGATTACTTTCAAGAATTGCTGAGAAAATATATTGTCTTTGTAATATTCATTGCAGACTCCTACCAATACTATTTTTAAAGAAAATCTGCTACTTAATATGCAGTTTTAAACATGGATACAACATAAAGCTTCTGCCTTATTTAAAATAAAACACAAGTGAATTTCTGTGGTAGTCTAAGTCCTGGAAACTTTATCTTATAATTCACTTTATCATCCCATTAAACAGAATATAATAGGTTAAAGCCGAGCCTCTTTTTCTGTAAGACACATAAATGTTTTAAATACCTTAGCACTTCCTAGAATCAGACAAATTCTAAGATCATTATATAACAAGTCTTCTCCCAAAAAACTACTAAAAATGTCCTGAGATGTATCTCCATTCTTGCTTTGCTTGCAAGAAGAAATGACGTAAGACCTACTATATACAAAACTACATACACAACCCAGGAAGTGTTTCTTCATTCTTCCACTTAACCTTTATTTTTACTGTTTGCACTGTGGTCATTCATAACTCACAAATGTGCTGTATTATAAGCTTTTAATTTTTTCCCTCTACATACAAGTAGACTGGTGTCTGTCATAGGAAGCACATAACCTCTTTATTTCTTGTTTTCCCAAAAACTATCACCTTCAGGGCTATGCAAAATATTTAAGAAAGGCTGGGGAAATGCGGTATAAGGACCAACGTGTGATCTTAGTAAAGTTTACAACCAACACAAATTTTTTTAAAACCTATTTTAGACTTCCAAGGAAAATGTTTTCACTCTAAAACAGACAAAAGGAAAGACCAAATGCTGGCTGGGTGAATGACCAATTTTCAGAATTACCCTTTCCAGGAGAATTCCTCAGTCTACAGCTGCATTGTCCAACACGTGAGCCACTAGCCACTTTGTAGTTACTGAGCACTTAAATGTAGCCAGTTCGAAAGATGTGCGGTAAATGCAAGACACCAGATTTGAAAAGCTTAGTACGAACAAAAGAATGCAAAATACCTCATTCATTTGATATTATTATATGCTAAAGTACCTTGGATTTACTAGATTAAACAAAATGTTTTATTTCCATTAACTTCACCTGTTTCTTACTTTTAATTTAAAATTACGTAAAGTTCAGCTTGTTTTGTATTTTCACTGGGCAGCGCTGTTTTAAATAATTAATAATACCCAGCTGACACCATCTATTTCTTTCTTCCCTCGCGTTTCTCGCACTGGTTCTACAGTTGCCTGGGGCACCGTTAATTCTGCCGAGGCCTGGCATGGGATCTTTCTGAATCCTAAGACCCTGGGTGTTGGGTAGGGGGGTGATAAGTAAAGAATTGGCTAACTGGGCCCGTACCCACTGCGCATCTCGCAGCACGGGCTCCCGAATCTCCTCCGGCAGGGCGTCCCCGAGCTTTTGCACGAAGCGGCCGCACAGTTGTAGCATTTCGGTCACAGCCCGCTTCGACGTGCACCGCACCCGAAAGTCCTCTCGGGGAGTGGCAGAAACCAAGGCTTGGCTGTCTGTCCCAGCCACTAGCTCCTTGTCCCACGGGGGGTCAAGGACCACTAACTCAGAAGACCCCGCCATTTTTTGTCGGAACTGTGGGCGGGACTCTGGGAGCGGAAAAGCGGTTTCCCACTGGTGTAACAAGCATGCATCCGCCTAAAAACTTAGGACGCTGCAGCCAAAACGTTCCGGCCTCGGCTCTGTGGGCGCGTCGGGCACGGCGGGCAAAGGGTTGGTGGACTGTCACTGCCACCTCTCCGCCCCGGACTTCGACCGCGTATGTGAGGGCGATGCGGGGCCCGATGGAGCAGGGAGGCCCCCGTCCTTTCCACTCGCGTTATCTTTGCTCTCCTCCCTTGGGACCGAACCCCATCACCCCCACCAGACCCTTGTTTATGGCCATATGACCCGCCCCTCATTTTCCTATTCCCTGTTTAACTTCAGACATACCGATTTTTTTCCCCTGATGAAGTCGCTGTAAGCTATCGTCACAAGGCTTTTGTTTGCTCTTCTGAGTTCCTGGAATCGTTCCCCCCCTCCCCTTGGCTGGCCTGTTTTTCAGTTCGGGCCTCTCACCTCCCTGGCTGAGACGCCACTTTTCCCGGGAAGCGGTCCTCAAAACGCGTTCAAATCCGGGAGAGGTAGGGCGCGGGCCCACGCCTGTAATCCCAGCACTTTGGGAGGCTGAGGTGGGCGCGGCGTATCACCTGAGTGCAGGAGACCGTGACCACCCCTGGGCAACATGATGAAACTTCGTCTCTACAAAAAAATACAAAAATTAGCCGAGGGTGGTGGCGCTTGCCCGTGGTCCCAGCTACTCGGGAGGCTGTGGTGGGAGAATCATTTGAGCCCAGGAGGTGGAGGTTGTAGTGAGCTGAGATCACTGCATTCCAGCCTGGGTAACAGAAAAGAAAGAAAGAAAGAGAGAGAGAGACAGAAAAGAAGAAGAAGAAAAAGAAGAAGGAAGGAGGGAGGAAGTTAGGAAGGAAGGAGGAAAGAAAGGAAGGAAGGAAAAATATACGTGTATATACGCATACACACATGGCCGGGTGTGGTTGCTCACATTTGTAATCCGAGCACTGAGAGGCAAAAGCGGGCAGATTGCTTGACTGCAGGAGTTCGGAGACCAGCCTGGGCAATGTGGTGACACCTCGTCTCAATTAAAATAATAATAAAAATAATACAAACATAAAATTAGTTACAAACTGTTTTACCCATTACATGGGAAACTAGAAACTAATGATAGAAAAGTAAGGGGAATTTTATTTCAGGGGGAAATCCTCCCAGGAGTTGACACTTAAGGCTGAGAAGACAAGGAGCCACCCAAACCAGGGTGTGAGTCTATGCTGGTGAGGAAAACAGATGGGTTGCAGGTCCCCAGACAAGACAGAATTTGGCACATTCCAGCTGCAGAAATGCTGAATGGAGCCTGATGAGCTAGAAAAAGAAAGGCATGAAACAAAACTGGAGAGGTTTGCAGGGGATAGGTGAGGTAGGTCAGTAAGGAATTTGGATTGCATTTGAAGCAAAATGTGGATTCATTAAACGGCTTTTTAAAAAAGAGTGACAAGATCTGCTATCCTTTTTTCTTTTTCTTTTCCTTTTTTTTTTTTTTTTTT